GAGGTCATTTCGGGGGGAACGCGGGGGAACACAGTTCCCCCGGGTGAGGTACCGGGGGGCGGGGCACACGATGAAGCCCCGCCCCCCGCTTCCGGCCGCCCCGCTTCCGGCCCTCATTCAGCCAGGAGGAGGCAGGAGAAGAGGGAGGGTAAGTTGCTTCCTCCCTGCCTCTCCCCACCCCTGCCTGCCTGGGGCCAGGGAGGGCCTTCGCGGGGCTTCCTTGCACTCCCTCCGGCCTTGCAGGTCCACCGCCGGGCTCCTCATGGGGTTCGGCAGTGGAGCTGCAAGGCCGGCGGTGGCGGCCAGGACCGTTGGGGGCGGGGGGTGTGGCCTTATGACACATTTCTGGTGATGTCAGGGGGTGTGGCCTTATGACACACTTCCGGTGATGTCAGGGGGTGTGGCATATGCTAATGAGTTATGCTAATGAGTTCCCCTAGCTCTTTTTCTACGAAATGACCCCTGTCTGTAAAGCAAAGGTTCAGGGATTCTAGCTGCATAATGCATACCAGAAATCAAAAAATCCAACTCAAGGGGGTTTTTTTGAAGCAAGCCTCAATTAACATTGTGCTTCTTGGTGTATTTGAATATTGTACTTTATGGTATATCTTTTTGGGACTGGGATCTTCTGTAACATTGGGAACAGAGCAACTATCAGTCATTCTGATTACTGGGTTAGTTTTGTAGCAAACTGTGATGCTATTCACCATTCAGCCATTGTCCTACAATAGGCCCTATTGAGGGTTTGCATACATCATAAATGCCAGTGTGCATCAGTATTCAATGCAGTGTTAATGTGCAGCTGTGATTACTCTGTTCTGTTCCTCACCCCACCCAAATATCATTGCTTTGGCAGGTGGAAGATGAATGGAGTAGAGCTCAAAATGGAGCCAAATTCCCGTTACAGGCTAAATGGGGGCAACTTGGTCATAAGCAATCCTGTGAAAGCCAAAGATACCGGGTCCTACCAGTGTGTGGCATCCAACTCTGTGGGCACAGTAGTCAGCAAAGAAGCTTATGTTCGTTTTGGCTGTAAGTCATCTGTTTAGTCTTGAGCAGTCTTTCTGAAGTTAATACAGTGCAGGAAGAACAGCAGAATGTCAGAGCTAACTTGGGAGCTACCCTCCTTGGTAGCTTTCCAGCATGGACCAGCTAGGCCAGAAGTAAACACAACGAAGGCTGAAATGATTCACTAGCACATGGAGACCCTGATGCATACTGTATAAACTTCTCCAAGGCTGAGTAGGAAGGAGAATAATAGAAGTGAAGGATGGGGGCTTGAGGCAATTAGGTGCTGCAGTGGGCTTAGTGTTTGTAGGCATAAAAATTCTGTGCCAGTGTAGGGCTGAATGTGCTTGTGGGGGGCACAATTCCAATTCCCCCTCTACACATTTTGCCTGTCCCTCCATCTGTCATGTATACAAAGCTTCAGAGTACTCAAGGGTTTCAAATGAGGTAGCCTGGCTGCTTACTAGTACAGTCAGAGGGAATAGATACTGTTTGTAGTACAGTCATAGGGAGGTGTTCTGCAGGTGTCCAGTTAGTTTCCATGCCAAATTCAAAGCACTGTTTTTAATCTTTAAAGCCCCAAATGGTCTAGGCCCAGGTTACTTCAAAGATTACCTTCTCTTATTCCAGGACAGTGAAATCTAATTTTTAAGAATTCTTGACCTTTGAAAATTATGCCATATCTCCTCCATCCCTTCCTTTTATTTAGTTTTGCAGGAATTTTCTGCAGAAGAAAGAGACCCAGTGAAGATTACAGAGGGCTGGGGGGTGATGCTTCCTTGCATCCCACCCCAACATTACCCAGGTGAGGCAGCAGCAGCATGTGAGAAATTAGGCTCTTAGAACACTAACAGCCTTTCTACTTTATTCATTTATTTTAGCATAGTGTAAATGTGCTTTTAAAAAAACCCCACATTCATAGTCATAGAGGTTTAGATGATAACCCTGGAAATGTTGTCAAATGTAAACAGAAGTTATGAGGCTTGCTGGCATTTGCTGGCCACTGAAGCAAGGGCTCTGAGAAGCATGAATTGCTTTGTTCATCTCAGACAAAGCTCCTATTATTCTTAATTCTGTGGTGATATATTCTGGATTTCTTCCATTAAATTCTAGACTTGCAGTCCCAAAACGCTGATATATCTAGATGCAGATATTCAGTATTTATGAAAACTGAACGTCCTGCTGCTAGGCATATTTCAGTGATGCAATTTCAGTTCAGTTTTAATTTCTGCTGTGGTGGCTGCATGGAAGACTGGACTTGTGCATCTGTATTCACAGCAGATATGCTCATGTGTATTTCCCTGTTCATAAAGCTGTATATCCTGTTAAAAGTGTGAAATGAACAAATAGCAACTGGATTTAGTTGTGTTTAGGAAACAAACACCCAATGTCAACCTTCTGATGTCACTGTGGCACAGAGAAGCCAGTGTTTCACCCTTTCCCTTTGTTGCACACAGGACTTTCGTATCGCTGGTTTTTGAATGAGTTTCCCAACTTCATCCCAGTAGATGGAAGGCGTTTCATCTCCCAGACAACTGGAAACCTTTACATTGCCAAGACAGAGGCCTCCGATGTGGGCAACTATTCCTGCTTTGCTACTGGCCAGATCGACTCTAGTAAAAAGAGTGTCTTTAGCACATCTTCTCAGCTCATAATTGTTGGAGAAGGTAAGCACATTAGGAACACAAAACAACTGTCTGCCAAATGATGGTTGTTGGCTGGTTAGGATGGCTAACTGCGGCACAACCTGTGGCCCTACAAACCAAATGTAGCCCAGCAGTCATGCATTGTGGTCCAGTAGCAGCCTTACAAACATACTGTTTTTTGTTGCTTGCTTGAGACTACACTAACAGGCATGTTGTCAAGCACCATGCAGGTCATCGTGTACTGTAAAGCTGTGTTTGCCTGGGTGAGTCACAAATTTGTAGGCCTATCCAATATGTTAGTCATATAATGGTTCTAGGTAAAGGTAAAGGTTTCCCTTGCGGTGCTCATCTCCATTTCCAAGCCAAAGAGCCAGCGCTGTCCAAAGACATTTCCGTGGTCATGTGGCTGGCATGACTAGATGCCAAGGCGCACATATGTACCTCAAATTCTTTAATATAGAATGACAGGGCCAATAATCACAGCAAGGAAGGACAGGAATAAAACACTGATAAAAACTGTACATCTGTTGCCTGGCTTCTGTAAGATTTCCTAACACATTTTAATTAGGGAATACAGAACACTATTCATGCTATTAAAAATGTGTTCATGCCTGTCTTTTAATATCTCAAAATATATAAATGCTGAATGAAAGCTAAACCTTTTGTTTTATTATATAAAAATACACAGAGACTTTAAATGAAATACGATACAAAACCTAACCATTGACCCAGTCAGTGGTTCTAATAAATGTCATGCCTATTAGAAGTATTATTTATTTATTTAATTTTATTTATACCGCACCCTCCCCGCATGCGGGCTCAGGGCGGCTTACAATATACGGGTGCAATGCAGCACCGTAATTTCACAGTATGGTACTCAGTGCGATAAAAACACAGTAAAACATTTAAAACAATTTAATACAGTGGGCAGCGCCCAAGGATCCCGCGTGACAAACAACCTCTCTCCCTATTGCATCTGCCCTTGGGTCAAGAGGGAGGATGGTGTGGCCCCCCGATGTTCATTGGCCACTCAGCCTCATCCAGCGGTGCTGCTGTTCTGGCCCCTGTTGGTGGTAGTGGTGGCAGCGGCGGCTCCTATTCGAAAGCCTGGCGGAAGAGCTCAGTCTTGCAGGCCCTGCAGAACTGTAACAGGGCCCTGATCTCCTCCGGGAGCTCGTTCCACCAGATAGGAGCCGCCACCGAAAAGGACCTGGCCCTTGTGGCAGCAAGCCTGGCCTCTTTAGGGCCCGGGGTCGCAAGGCGATGTTGCGACCCCGACCGAAGTGCTCTCTGGGGCCCTATTAGAAGTATTATAAGCCCCTAGCGAAAACTAGCTGTGTTAACAGCAGAGCCTCTGAAGGATGGGGAGGGAACATCTGGCAGCTTTTCCCCTCTCCCACTCTTCCAATGGAGTGGGAGTGTTGGGGGCTTGCTGATATCTTGTTTTTCTTGTCATCTTTAGTTTAGTTTTATTGTAATTCTCACATTGACTGCCAAGACTGGTAGTACAATGGGGTGTAAATATTCTAAGTAAACAAATCATGATGCCAAGTTGACTATATAATGAGGCAACCCGAGGCAGTTACCTCAGGGGCAGGTTTGTGGGAGCAGCATCCTCCCATTGCCAGCCAGCTACCTACTATCTGCCTGTCAACTGATTGCTGACCAGTGGCTGGAGGAGGTAATTCTCCTTACCTCAGTGGCCTGAGTTACTGAAAATGCACACAGCAAGTTAGACATGCCAGTTCCAAGACACTTGTAAGTGTCTGGCCACTCCTTGTTCTTTATTGTTGCCATGGCAACCAGAGTGTCAGCCAAACACTCATGAGAGGAAGGAATCACATGAAAAGCTCATAATGCTCATAAGGGTACATATCATCATATTGTTTTTAAAGACGGCTGGGGCACCAAAGAGTTCAGGAGAAATATCTCCTCCAGAGGATAAGGGTGGCAGCAGCATTTGTGAGGAGGGGTGGAGGGGGGTGCTGCTGATCTTGAACTTCCACTGCAAGACATAACCTTCCATCTCTTGTGCAACATGTGTCTCAGCTGAGGAGCCAAAGGCCCAATTTGTGGCAGAGATTCTCTTTCCATAAAAGAAAAAAAAGTAAAGAAGAGTTTTGGCAATTCACACCATGTTTTTAATGTGAGATTATTGCAATCTTATTTATTTATTTATTTACAACATGTTGCACTGTTGAACAAGAATAAAAGCAGAGCAACTTCCGGTTTCAGCGACTTTCATGGCGGGTGCGCTCCTTCAGTGCTCCAAAAGGAGCGGCCTGTGACGTGGCAGATGGGAGGGGGGCCGGTTGATCCGGACCCTCCCTGAGAGTCCTTGTAGGGGACTTCCAGCCTGGGGCGCTGGAGGTTGCCTCTCCCAATGCTGTGGCCAAGAAATTGAGGCACCTCCGAGCTCCGATAGGTCCCGCCACCACGGCGCCATTATGGCACCAAGAGGCGAACAAGTGATTCACCGAAAATAAAGCTCTCCCTACCTCGGCAGCAGGCATGGAATGAAGCATGAGTGCTAATTCCTTTTTGACTGGCTATTTGGCAAAGCGTATATCCGAAGCCCCGAATGGCATTGATGGAGGGGGAGGGAGCTAGTTCACAGCACCCCCCATACATTTTTAAGCAAATTTGTTTAGTGCGAGGGGCTAGGAGAAACAGCGATGGTCAATTGAATCAGGCAAAGTACAAATTTAACCAAAGCGAGCTTTTGAAGCAACTTTTACTGACTTTTGAAAACTTTCCTTGAAATATAAACAATGACTGGGCGGGCAGAAAAGATGGTGATGACGAGACTGAGACACTCTACTGGAACTACAAGATCAACACATCCGGCTACTAAACTGGAAGTAAATATTGGCTTTACGAACATGTTGGCTACTGCATTGCACCCTCTGCTGGAGCAGATTACTAACACCAACAAAAAGTTAGATGAGATCCAAAAACAGCTTAAAGAGACGAACTTAAAAACAGAGGAGACTGCAAAATCAGTAAAAAAGGTTGAAGCCAAAACAAAAGAGACTAATCAAAGACTGGAGGTGATGGGAAAACAAAGATCCTCTGATAAAGACCAGCTTTTAAGACTACAAATGGAAAAATCAGCGTATGTTCTGAGATTTTAAGGTGTTCCTGAACAGCAAGATGAGAATCTGAAAGAAATATTAAGTGAAGTGTTGGCCCCAATTACAGGTTTAAAGGCAGATACATTGCAAAGCGATCTGGATTTGATCTACCAGACATATCCAGAATTTATTAAGAAAAAGAGCCTGCCTGGGGAGATAGTGGCGAGATTCTCTAAAAGATCAACAAGGGACGTGGTGCTCAAGGCCACAAATGGGACAACCTTAAAAATAAAAGATGAAGAAATTAGAGTCCATTTGAAATAAAAAAGAAGAGGGCTCAATACAAAAATTTAACCGGCTTTTTGCAGAAAAACTCCATCCTCTGCAGATGGATAATACCCGAAGGACTGGTCTTCAACTACAAAGATAAAAAAAAAGAAAAGATAGACTTTGTTTTAAAAGCAAAGCTGTTCTTGGAACAACAACAAAAACCAGCAAACAAAAAAGATACAGCAGAGGAACAAGATATCGAAGAAAAAAGCAGCACACATGGGTTGGGAGATTTGGAATCAACAGCGAGTTGTAGCCCAGAAGAAAACTCTGAATCAGAATTAGGGGAAGCATCCCCAAAAGTCCTGAAAGTCAAATGGAAATATGAAAAGAAGAAAAATAAAGGGAAGAAACAGATTTAGTAGAATTGTATAAGCCTAAAAGTCTTATTGTTTGTATTCACTTGATTCAATTTTATATTTACCAGTCTATAATAGAAGCAGTAGAGACTAGCTGTATTCCAAAAACTATTTCTTTATAGAGAGAGCTTTAGCTAAATATGCATTTAACCATTATATATGATATGAGAGGGAGGGCTTGTGTTCCACCATTGGTGTGAATCTTTCTGCTCTCATGAGGCACGGAGACTTTCCCGTTCATTATGTAACCTCCCGCTGGGAGAATTCCCACGCGTGCGCTTGGATTTCATTTGCTTAGCCATTTGCAGCATCACGCTATATGAAGGGATGCATCCGCCCCATTGTCATTCCTAACAATATCCCTATAGATCATGGCAACGGACCTGTAATCTAATAAAGCATAACGTTTCCCTGGAATTGTGTGTGGAGATTTACTTGCTGTTGAACCTGACAAAATGGTTAGGAATCTCCTTTTCCCCATTGGACCAATTCTCTCCTAAACGAGATGAGCGGTGCCGGGGGGGCAGGGGTTACCCCGACAACCACGTCGGGGACTACCCCGACCACCACATCAGTGTCTACACTGACTACCACAGCGGTGCCAGTGACGGTACCCACGACGGTGCCCACGACGGCCCCAACCACAACAGCACCGGTGGTACCCACCCCGATGACTTCAGAAACGAGGACGCAAGTGACAACGACCCCACAGACGACAGCAAGCTCAGGAGGGCCGGTGTCAACGGATGGAAGGGCTACACCTCGGTCGGCGGTATCCTTCATCCCCGTGCATTTGGGAAAAGGGGTGACCTACCACCTCAAAGACAGATACTGGGGCCAGCATGTGGGAGACTCCACGCAAACTACCTGGTCGATGCCGGGGAGTCGGAGTCCGGACAGTATTTTTGACCCCCGGTCGAGGTCAGGGAGTTTCAGGATGACCCCGGGTAGACCCATCATGTTCCCACCGAGATTGTCGGTTAGTCCGGGACGAGACATAGATGGGAGGCTTGATAGCCTGGAACTGGACTGCCGCACTATAATGCGGGACATGGGGCAATTGCGCCAGAACCTTCTGGGAATAGTGGCCCATGCGGTGCAGACCCAAATGGCCGTTCCACAGGTCCCACCGATAATTCCCATCCCAGCACCTGGCCTCAGCCACCCCCTTCCCCCCCATTCCTAACAATATCCCTATAGATCATGGCAACGGACCTGTAATCTAATAAAGCATAACATTTCCCTGGAATCATGTGTGGAGATTTACTTGCTGTTGAACCTGACAGTTTCCTCTTTAGCATCTGAAGCCATACTGGAGCAGTGTGAGACATGGCTAGACAGTAGCTGCACTGTTTTGGAATGAGAATCTAGCTCTGAAAAGTAGCTCTGAAGCCTATTAAAAGTAAATACTGCAGCTAAGCAGTTGATTTTGAAATGTGCACTCTTCATAAGGTGACAGATTTCAGAAACTTTGATTTACATTGTTCAGGGTGGATAGTTTTACTGCTTTTCAGCCCCTAACCCAGCGGTGAGGAAATTACAGTTTGGTGATTTACATGTGGCCCGTGGGAACTTTTCATCCAGCCCTCAAACTCAGAGCTCTTTAAAGCACACAAATGCCTCTTATATTTTGTTTTTCTTAATGGTCTTAATAGCATTCAGCCTTCTGTCTGTTAAATCAGGGGTGTCAAAAAAGCAGCCCGTGGGCCAGTTCAGGCTCTTGGAGGGCTCCTATCTGGCCCACAAGGAACTGGCTGTCTCCAGTTCTGCTGCTGCGTCACAGCTTGCTTTACCAGACTCTCTCAGTCACCCAGGAGAGATAGATAGGCAAGCTTCTGTTCCCTGCACTGGCTGAGACTGCTTCCCCTCCTCCTCCCAGTGTGTGGGTATTTTATTGGGCTCGTTATGCTGTGGCTCTCCTGGGTGCAAGTAGGTTTGCCTCCCCTTTTTCACTGTATTTCATGCCCTCATGACCTCAGTAAGAAAGCAATGTGAACTATTTAGAAGTAGAATAACAACAAGCCAGTGAGACAAATTAGGCTGAGAGTGTGTGTCCAGACTAGGTTCACCCAGCACATTTCCTTTGTAGACTGGGGGTTTTGAACCTAGGCTTCCCAGTCAGTAGGCTGATACTGACCACTATACATTGCTGTCTCTCTGTTCTTGCACTGTCTCATAGGAGTTGTAGTTATTTCTCTGGGGAAGTTTTGTAAACAAACACATAGCCCTCAGTCTGTATCAGGATGCCTTCTCATGTTCTTGACCAGCGTACAAAAGCATGCAATGCCCAGCTATTTAATGTTTTCCCCTGGGTCCTAGGCTCAGAGCACTGAGCATGAGATTTCTGTAATGAATGTCAATAAATCAAAAAGTAGGTTTGCAGCGTACTGAGCAGCATACTCAGGATTGCTACAGCACAGACATTTTATGCAATAATTCAGAGCAAAAGGTGTCAGTTATCAAAGACTGTTAAATAAATAAAATATTGCAAGAGTGCTAATGTTTTAAGCATGTTTTAAAGTTTTAAAAAATCTTTAATTGTGTTTGTGTCCTTTATAAAGTTTATATCTCTGCCACCTGTCATTACATTTTATGACACACATGGCCCGGCCCTTCATGGTCTCATTTATGTCAAATCTGGCCCTCATAATAAATGAGTTTGACACACCTGTATTAAACAATTTGTCAGGACCATTGGTTTACCAGTCCATATCAGCTAGCAGGGCAGTAATTCCCCAGAATCATTAAACAGCTCAACAGCCAAGACCCATTAAGAACCATTCAAAACAGCAGAGCAAGAGAGAGGGCCACGTATAAGTCTATGCCTGCTTTAAAGGGCTCTCAGTTGGAGACCAGCTCTTGCTTTTTTCCCTAGTAGGCTAGTAATGGAAACAGGAAAAATCACTTCTCCCTGCTCTAACCCTTTTACAATCCCTTCTCCTTTCCACAGATTCCAGACAGTATGCCCCAAACATTAAAGTCAAGTTTCCTTCTGACACTTACGCACTGGCTGGGCAGCTGGTGGCTTTGGAGTGCTTTGCCTTTGGGAAGTAAGTGCTTGAGTCAGTTGTATTTAACCTCTTACTGCTGACAGCTGACAGGTTGTGGGCCAGTGTGTTAATAAGCTTGGTAAGGCATCCTCTGCTTCCTAGTAGCAAGGATGCAAAAGGGAATGGAAAGATTAAAAATAACAGAACCACTGTCCAGGAAATAGTTTAAGAGCGTAAGCTCTAACTTGCAGTGGCTGGAGCATTCCCAAGTCTGCATTTAGTAAATCCTTATTCTTCCCACATTGTAGAGTGGATGATTCCAGGTAGTGAATTATACTATATGATGTCCCATTTTGTGAGCCCATTTTTCATATTCTGTATGTGCTGATTCATTGTTTTCAGTGTATTATGATAATGGTTATTGGATAACAAATGTTATTCATTGACAGCTCTTAGCTAGGGCTCCTCACAGCTTAGTTGGTTCCAGAATCTGTTTTAAATGCGATGCTGTAATGCTAAAATTTTAAAAATAAACAGCAGTGCCTCTGAACATGTACAGAGTGCTTACCAAATACTGAGTATCCACAAGTAGATCTCACAGTCTGGGATGGAGAGTAGGAAGGAAGGAGTTTCTAAGCCAGTGTGATTTCTGGGCAGGCTTATATGCCAGCAGTTTTGTGGTTTTGTACAGTCTTATGTTGAAAAATATAATGAAATAGGAAATTACCTAGGACAATAAATAGAACTTGAACAATTTAAAAGGATGGAAGATACTGCTCACAATGAGGAAAATTTGAGAGGTGTGGGCTGTAACAGGAAGGAGCAGAATGCTTTGTGTGATGTGATGTTTTGTTTTGTTCTTAAGTATTACGTTGCTCCTGAAGTTTCAGGTTGCATTTTGATTGAGTTTCCTTTTCTGATCCAGCCCTGTCCCTCAAATAAAATGGCGCAAGCTGGATGGCAGTTCATCCTCTTCATGGATCGCAACTAAGCCCCTCCTGCAATTTGAGAAGATTGGCTTTGATGATGAGGGCATTTATGAATGTGAAGCTGAGAACATCAAAGGAAAAGACACCCATCAAGGACGCATCATCATCCAAGGTGAGGCTGCCCAGGAAGTCCTTTCTCCAGGCTTAAGTTGTTCTTTTGCTTGCAAGCCCATTGCACCTTGTCTTGCTCCAAGAATGGGGATAAGAGAAATGGCTGCATGAAGAGGAGCAGCTACAGCAACAGAGTTGGGTAGGTGATCAGAAGAGGTTCGCATCAGTCATCTGGGAACAAGAGGAATACCTCCTCTTTTTATGATTTCTCTTTATTAATTTTCAGGAACATATAAACAAACAAAGAAAAAACAAAAACATATATACCTGTTGCAACACATATATCTGCTAACCTAAAGTAAATCCAAGCTGCTCCTCTTCTGCATCAAGGCTAAACGGTCTCTCCCCCGCTAACCGCCGTTGCGGGGGGGACCGAACAAGCCTTCTGCACCCAGTCTCCCTCCAGGAAATTGGGAGGAGTCCAACACAGTCGGCGAAGACGGGAAAGGAACTCCAAAGAAAGCAAAAAAGGTCAGGGAGATCAGGGAGCGTCCTGAAAACACCCGCAGCACCGCACCATTTTCCCGGAACACCCCGGAATACCTTCTCAAAAGCACTTAATTGTTTGGCAGCAAAGGTTCAGGAGAGAAATAAAAGAGACAGGAAGCTGTAATTAAAAAGTGGATTGGAGTGGGAAGGTGAAAACAAGGACCTATTTGTACATGAAATTGTCTTGTCCCCCTTTAAAGCCTTTCAGACTAGTAGCCATCACTGCATCCTGTGGCAGTGAATTCCAGAAGTTAGTCTGAGACTCAGGGCTCTTTTTGTAGCAGGAACTCCTTTGTATATTAGGAGATACACCCCTAATGTAGCCAATCCTCCCAGAGCTTACAGAGCTCTTCTTCCAGGGGCTACTGTAAGCTCTTGGAGGATTGGCTACATTAGGGGTGTTTCGCCTAATATGCAAAGGAGTTCCTTCCTGCTACAAAGAGAGCCCTGAGTACAGCAGTACTGAGTACAGTACACCCATCAGCTTCATGCCCACGAGTTGTGATATTACAGTGCACCAAGAGGGAGAAAACGTTTTCTACATACACTCTCACCCCTTAGTTGTCATTTCTCTACACTGAAAAGTTCCAACCACTTGATCATTCAGTTACCCTTTTCCGGCATTACAATAACCCTTTTGAGGTACAGCAATCAAAATGGTGCAATACACCACATTCCAGATGTGACAGCGTCACAGATCTATATAAAGGTGTTATGGGTCTAAGGGCTGGATCAAGCTGCAATTTTTTTTATGCTTCTCTCTCACTGCAGATCTCTGATTCCCTCTTATGCTGTCTGGGAGGGGGCACTGTGTCACAGGGGCAGCACTTTGTAGGGTATTTCGGGCTGCAGTAGGAGTGGGGAGACGAAGCAGCCCTATTCTGCTGACAGACAAATCCCTTAAATCAGTCAAGATTTTCTGCAAGACCCACGCCCAGTTGTTTCATTTTCAATCCTTTTCCTAAGCGTAGAATTTCCCTTTTTCATCACACAGAGTCAACATTTTAATTGAGCTGTCCACCACAATCCCAAAATCTCCTGCTCAGTCAATGTCAGTTCAGACCCCATCAACATGTGATTTAAATTAAGGGGTTTCACCCCAAGATGTATTACCTTGTACTTGTACTAACTATCATTTTGCACATTGTCACCCACTCACCCAGTGTGGAGGGATCTTTTTGAATCTCCTCACAATCAGCTTTGGTTCTCATAATCTTGAATAATTATCATCTACAAATATGATCTTTGCTGCTCACCCCCAATTCTAGGTCATTTATGAACCAATTAAGAAGAAGTATTACCACTGCGAGAGCTATCCATTTACTCCTACTCTCTGTTTCCTGTTTAGTTAGTTTCTGATCCATGAGAGGATCTGTCTTCTTATCCCTTGACTGCAAAGATAATTTAGGAGTCCTTGGTGAGGGAGTTTGTCAAAAGCTTTTTTGAAAATCAAAGTGTATAATGTGTACCAGATCACAGAGCCAGTTTGGTGTAGTGGTTAAGTGCGTGGACTCTGGGAGAACCGGGTTTGATTCCCCACTCCTCCACTTGCACCTGCCTGGATGACCTTGGGCAAGCCTTAGTTCTGATAAGAGCTGTTCTCAAAAAAAGAGCAGTTTCTGTCAAGAGCTCTCTCAGCCCCACCTACCTCACAGAGTGTCTGTTGTGGGGAGGGGAAGGGAAAAGGAGTTTGTAAGCCGCTCTGAGACACCTTTGGGTAGTGAAGGGCGGGGTATAAATCCAATCTCCTCCTCCTCCTCCACTATTATTCATGTAAACTCCAGAATGTTGGTGAGACAGTCCTTCTCTTAACAGAAGTGGAGTCTTCCTCAGAGGGACCTTGCTCCTTTGTGTGCTTATCTATCTTTAATTATAGCTTCCACCAATTTATGTGGAAGAGATGTTGGACTAACTGACTTGTAATTTCCTGTACCTCCTCTATATCCCTTTTTAAAAAACTGGCTTCATATCTGCTATTTCTTCATCCTCTGGAAAGGAGGTGGATTTCAGTGATGTTACATATACATTTGTTAGGAGATGAGCAATTTTGAATGTGAATTCCTCAAGAAGCCTTGGGTGTATGCCAGTGGACTTAGTGATTAGTTGGTTTTAACTTGTCCATTGCCCTAGAACTTCATTTGTCATCACGTCTGTTTGACTCAGTTCTTCCAATACCCTTCCTGAAAACAGTGGCTTTACTGTGGATAACTGCCTTAGATTTTCTGCAGTAAAAATCAACACAAAGAATTAATTTGGTTTTCCCACACAGGACAAATAGTAGTGGGGGGAGCCTTGCAACTAAAAAGCAGGGGAAAATATTTTAAATAATTAAAAAAAACATTTTAACCAGGTTTGGGAAATGAAATGCCTTGTGGTAGTGGTAGGGTTTACAATACCATGGCAAATCCCCAATGCAAGGTGAACTTTATGAATTTTGTTCTGCTTTTTGTGTGAAATTCATGGATCTGATTCCACTCTTTGTAGCTCAGCCAGAATGGCTGAAGGTCATCACAGACAGAGAGGCTGACATCGGATCAGACCTGCGCTGGAGCTGTGCTGCATCTGGCAAGCCGAGGCCTACAATAAAATGGCTACGGAATGGGCAGCCATTAACTTACCAGGTATCACATAGATCACTGACAGGTAGTAGTTATCACTGCCCTTCATCTTCAACTTCTGAAGTCTCTGTAATCTAATCTAGTCAGCCTTGTGACTTTGCATTTCCATTACTTTCTCTTTCCCATTGTGCACTGGTAATCAGACATCCCATTTGTCATGTGGACCAGGTATCTTAGGAAAATCACTCTGCCTGTAAATTCTGGAGGGATAGTCATGTTAATTAGTTGTAGCACAGCAAGAAAGTGAGCTTTGTGGCACCTTAAACTAACAGATTCATTGAGGCAAAAGTGTCACGACATGTATAAAGTATATTCTCAGTTGGTGGTAGGGCTGCCAAGTGGGGGCGAGGGGCGGGTGGTGGGTAAACCCCCGCTTTGGAGGCCTGATTTCCGCTGCGGCGGAATCAGGCCCGGGGGGGAACTCCGCCCCCCGAAGCGCAGCGTGGCTGTGTCACCAGAGGTGACGCAACCACGTCGATCACGTTGGGGGCGTGGCCCCGATTGTCGGAGGGAAAACTCTATGGTTTTCCCTCCGACGATTGGGTCGACGTTGCACGTCACTTCCGGTGACGTGCTGGCGGCATGCGCGTGCTTTGCGCGCCCCTGCGCATGACGAGGGACGGCTCCCAGCGCGCAGTTAGGCTCCCCTGCCAGTGAGTGAAATTCACTTGGCAACCCTAGTTGGTGGTGATAGACATAGAGATGGTGAAATAAAAACTGTAAATAGATTAAAATGCAGTGAAATGTAAAGCTTGTTATACTTCAAAGAATGTGAAAAAACATAATGACAATAGTTTACATTGATATAGCACATTCAGTTTTCAAAACACTTCACATATATTTGTTTGTAAAACAGGCCAGTGATGTTATCCCCATATTTTGTTTGGGTCTGAGGCTGAGAAAAATTATTCACTAAATCTAAAAATAAAATATCTTAAGCTTGTTAATTCATTTGAAAAAAGATTAAATTTGGATTCCAGTAAGAAACAACTGAAGTTTATTTTGTACATAGCTGGAAGCACAGAATTTAACACAACAATGACCAGTGTCTTAATTAGCCATTTTTGCATTTTTGATTGATGGACTCCTCAGTCATTTCCAGTGGCTTACAAGAGCAATCTTAGCTGAAGTTCATACAATTGAAAGAAAGCTGAAACAAAGCATAAGTAGTAACAGGACATGTTTTAAAAAATGAACAAATTACATAGTAGGATAATACATACAGCCACAGATACTATGTACTGTACACAGTAGTATAGTCCACAATCCCTTTCCTTTTCTTAAAACATCTTCCTTTTTTAAAATGCCCTTCTGAATAATTCAATTGTACATAACCAGGAGAATAGAATCCTTCCTGACCTTATCAGGCAGGCTATTTCATAAACTGAGGGCTACAACAGAGAATACATGTGTATGGGCATTTGTTGATCTTGCCTGTTTGCAGGGTGGCACCTGCAGAAGGCCCTGATAAGATGAGCAAAGCTGTCATGGTAGACCATAAGGAGACAGGCTATCCTGAAGTTATGAGGGTACAAGGGCCATGAAGGGCTTTGTATGTGATAACGAGTTTGATCCAAAATAATACTCCCTAAGTATCTTTCACCATAAGTCGGAAGTGACTTGAGAGCAACTTAACCACACACACACCCCTCTTTCCCAGCGTATCTTAATACAAATCTTCCTTATCAAAAATACTGACAACAGCAAGAGGGAAGCATACTAATAAAACAAGAGTAACATGTGAGAAATAGACTTGGTTAAGACATCACACAAACCTGTGGTTTATTTAAACTAAGGATGATTTGTCCGATGGTTGAAATCTGAGCCACTCCACTTATTACAGTTAGTTAGGGTACATCAAACAAGGACTCAGAAGTATGGTTTCAAGCTGGTTATTAACCATGGTTGTCATAATTGGTTTTGTATGATGTGTGGACATTTAGGCTTAAACCTGACTTTTGCGGGGGTAATACTCTCACAACAGTGCAGGGTGGAATTATCAGACAGATCTCTGTGAGACAGGTGTGGGAAAGGCTGAAGACAATGAAACTAGTATTTGTCAAGACAAACCATGGTTTGAATGATCATCTGTGAGCCAAATCCTTGTTTCACAAACTAAAAAACCAATAATAAATTATGGTTTTGTGTTGTAATTGTCAGAACAAAATATGCATGTTCATCAAGTTCTCTCCCTATTTTTGTTTCAGTGAGGTGTTCCCTTCATAAAAGAGCAATTTGCTCAAAAAGGATTTGAGAGCTAGAATTTCAGATTTGCTTTTGTATACCCTGCCCAAAATGTTTGTTGTGCCATACTCTGGGACATATTACCCACTGGAAATGTTTTTGTTAACTGGAATGCTAGTTAAGTGAGCCAGTTTATGTTTTCATATATTTAAATTGGCATCTATAAATGACAAGCTGGGTGTCTGTCTCAGAAGTAGCGATTTTATTCCAGGATGGGAATCCTGCATAATTATATTTCACAGCCCTAGTGTCACTATACTAACCGTGCAAAGGTAGCTTCACTAACATGGAGGACAACCAGTGGCACATTGTATACAGCTTTGGGCACAATAATAGCCATAGAAATATTTCCTTCATACATCCCTTGGAGTGACAGGTGGCATATTAATTTTCCTCATGCCATTCTCGTGTGGCTTTTGACAACCAGAATATTGAACAGCTACTTTTCAAAGGAAGCAGGTGTTCCACGAAGTTTCTGAAATATTTGAGCCCTCACACCTGTGCGCGCGCACATACACACATGAGTGAATAACAGCAAGTAGAGCATGTCACAGAGCTTGGCAAGTTTAGCTAAGATGTGTCAAACATGACTGGATATTAACAACATAACACTACTGAGGAAGCTGGTTTGAGGATCTCTGCTGAAGCTCAGCTCTCAGAGTCTTTCAGTTTCATGCTTTGTGTTGCTTTCTGACCACCTAATCCACTTGTCTGCACAGAATCGTATTGAAGTGAATGGTGGAGATTTGAGGATTTTAAAGTTAACAATGGAGGACTCTGGGATGTACCAGTGTGTAGCAGACAACAAGCATGGCACTGTTTATGCTAGTGCTGAATTGTATGTGCAAGGTAAGTTCTAGGTAGTATCAATATGATTTAGGTGAGAGGTTCTCTCACCAATTCCAATGAAAATGTCTCCAATTAAAAAGTTTTAGCTCTCTGGATTATGAAATATCAGTGGAGAAAAGATTGTCCCAAACACTGGATGACTGCCATATAAAAATGCAGTGGAATGTTTCATAATGAAACACTGACCTACTGTTTTAATTTATCTTTTTCTTTGTTTCATTTTGTTTTTCTATTGTTAGTGGCTTTGAGTGAGTCTCTGGAGAGGTAGTGTAGAATGTTCTAAATAAATAGTGGAGTTAATTCAGTGGGGTATTTCCATCTTGTAGAGTGTGACTTCCCTACTTTCACCTTCCCAGTGCAACCAAAAATGTCCTCCAAAATGCTGGGTGTCAGAGGTCTGCAGCAAGGATGGGGGGGGGGAGAGATTAACAAAAAGCCAGTGGATTTATCTCAAACTTTTTAATGGTATATAGTCATATTTAAAAATTCACGTTATCCCATTCCCCAAGTGGTGACTTCTGCTTCATGCACCGTGAAAGCTATTGTGTTCCTGCCTGTGCCCTGAGATCATGATCTGAGGCTCTACTCTGTCTTCCCTCCTTTTCGGGAGATGAGGCAAATAAGTGCTGGGGCAAGTGCCTTTTCAGCAGTGACAACCCAGTTTTGAAGTGCTCTCTAAATAGAAGTTTGCCTAAGAAGGATTTGTTGTTCTTCTGATGCCAGGTAAAGACTCTCTCAGGTTTTTCGGTGAACTGGTTGTATAGCAGTAGCATTATTTTAGTATGCTGTTTTTATCTCTGCTGCGATTTTGTTTGCATTTTATTCTTGTCTGATTGATGTGTTTTGAATTGACTGGTTTATTTTCAGTATTATATCGTAAGAATTTTAATTACGTTATTACCTACCTTGGGAGCCAGTTTTTGGTTGTGCCATAAGGGCTTTAAATGTATAAATTATAAACTCATGTGAGGAGGCCAAACAAACCTTAAATTTTTATAATTAAAATATTTCTTTATATGATATTTAACCCACCTTTCTCCATACAGATCCAAGGCGGCTTACAATATTAATTAAATATAATTAAAACAGATAAAATTCACATAGAATATATGTAGCAAACAACCTGATTAACAACTAGCCCCATTAAAATTCTTTTTAAAGAGTACAGCCTTGCCCAACGTCTGGAAGCCTTCCTCATTTGTTCTGAAAGCCTGTCCTGCTGGGGAAGGCCCTTTAATGAACAGGTGTTGATCTTACCTACCTACATGAAAGGAAGGTTCTGCATAATCTCTTGTATTTTTTGATTCATTTTTTTCCTTCTATTAATTGTCTCTCGTATAAAAATTCCCCGGAGGAAGGCCTTAAATGCATCCCAGACAGTTATTAATTTAGATTCTGGGCGCAAATTAAATTGAAAAAATTCTTTGATCTCTTTTTTGACTTTCCCCAAAAACTCCTGATCTTTCAATAGAAATATATTAAGCCTCCACCTTGTCTGCCGTTGTGTCTCTGTTAATGTCAACAACACTGGTTTGTGGTCTGCGTATGTCATTGGCTGGATTTCTACCTCTTTAACCTCCGTCAATAGTGATCCACTTAGCCAGAACATATCTAATCTGGACCACGATTTATGTCGTCCGGAGTAATAAGTATAATCATATTTGTCTGGATTCTTCATTCTCCAGATATCTAACAGATTCAGATCTTCTGCCAGGCTTAAAAAGACAGCTGGGAGCTCCCCTCCTTTCCTATGTCGGCCTATCTTGGTTTTCCTGTCATAAATTTTATTGTGTACCAGAGATGTTCAGGTACTTGCTGGTTCAACTCACATTCTGTTCAGCGGCTGTGAGCAGAGAGCTGATTTTTTTGCCAAGCTGTTCACATGTTCATGAGTAATTCAAACCTGTTCATTGGGTTACTTTTTGTATATTCAAACAGTACAGTACAGTGGGGGTAGCAGTGTACTACACATCCACATTCTCACAAAGCTTGATGAGAACCATAGATCCACCCTCCCCCACAGACCTGTTATCATTATCCACCAGCCAGTGATATAAACAAATGGTGAGAAAATTAATCAGTCAGCCAGTGATTGCAAATAAAACACTATATTTTTAAATGTCTATTTGGTGTTCATTTAATAAAGGCTATTACCTGCAGGCACGTTTTTGCACAGCTCTATGGGAATCACAGTACCCCCCCCATGTCTTTTAATTGCCTGACCCCACCATCTGTGACCCTCTCAGAGGTTACAAAAGTGGCTTGCCAAGGTAAAAGGAAATGGAACTGAAATAGCACAGCAACTGTGTGGTTGCAAAGCTGTTTGGCTGCTGTTTGAGTTGGTTGGTGGTGAGGGAAGGAGATCTAAGGCTCAGCTTCTGAGAACTTGCTGTTGAACATAATATGTTTGTGTCAAGCCCCACCTGCCCTTATGGGGGTCTGCTCCCTCCTCCGTCACCCTCCCAGACCCTGAGAACAGCGGGAGGTCTCAGAATGGGGAGGGGGTTCAATTATCCACCTTCCTCCTCCTCTCTGCTTGGTCACATCTAGAACAACCTCCAGAGCCCAGTCTGTTTTCCTCCTTGACCTCCCTTTTATCTTCCCTCATCACTTTCATGCCCCACCTCCCTTCCACTCCCTTATCAGCCTCGCCCCACGTGCTCAGCCGGTTTCTCCTTGCCAGGACTGGAAAGGGTGGGTCCCCACTTCCTTCCTGCTTCTTCCTGGGGAAGTACCACCCTTCTGCTTGTGGCCTCACACCAGAGTCACGTCAGCAGTATCTGGTGTGGACTCTAACATCCTGCGAACTCCCTCCCTCACTGTTCCAGCTACTGACCACCCTTGGGACTTGGGACTTGCCGCTGGGACTCCATTCTCCGCAGCAACAGGACCGTGGTGGATCTTGCCAGGAAGCCACCTTTGTGCCCATCTGGAGGTCACTGCCAGTGGCAGTGACTTCCAGGTGGTAACCACCAGCCCTGCCACACTCCTCTCCACACTGGGACCCAAGGCCCATGAGTGCTGCAGGTGTGACTGATCAAGAGAGAGATCTTGGAGTTGTAGTGGATAACTCACTGAAAATGTCGAGACAGTGTGTGACTGCAATAAAGAAGGCCAATGCTATGCTGGGGATTATTAGGAAGGGTATTGAAAACAGATCAGCCAATATCATAATGCCGCTATATAAATCAATGGTGAGACCTCATTTGGAATACTGTGTGCAGTTCTGGTCACCACACCTTAAAAAGGATATTATAGCTTTGGAAAAAGTGCAGAAAAGGGCAACTCGAATGATAAAAGGGTTGGAACACTTTCCCTATGAGGAAAGGTTAAAGCGCTTAGGGCTCTTTAGCTTGGAGAAAAGACGACTGAGGGGTGACATGATCGAGGTTTATAAGATTATGCATGGGAAAGAGCAGGTAGAGAAAGAGGTACTTTTCTCCCTTTCTCACAATACAAGAACTCGTGGGCACTCCATGAAACTGCAGAGCGGTCGGGTTAGAACGGATAAAAGGAAGTACTTCTTCACCCAAAGAGTGATTAACACATGGAATTCACTGCCACAGGAAGTGGTGGCGGCTACAAGCATGGACGGCTTCAAAAGGGAATTAGATAACCATATGGAGCAGAGGTCCATCAGTGGATATTAGCCACAAGGTATAGATAGGGGCTCTGGGGCAAGTGATGCTCTGTCTTCTTGGTGCTTGGGGGGGGGTCAACAGTGGGAGGGCTTCTAATGTCCTGGCCCCACTGCTGGACCTCCTGATGGCACTGGTATTTCTGGCCACTGTGTGACAGAGTGTTGGACTGGATGGGCCTTTGGCCTGATCCAACATTGGCGTCTCTTATGTTCTTATGTTCTTATTCCACTGCTGCCAGGGTCCAGGTTTGGGGTGGCACGGGCTAGGTCCTGCTCTTATACCATGGGGGTCTTGGGCCATCCCAAGCCCAGACACTTTGTCTGGCCAAACATGCTTGCTGTAAACTTCTCAGCATTCTTAGGACCAAGAAACAACCCTCATTAGAGACACATGATTGCAACAAAGGTGGAAAGAGGTAATTGTTCAACTCTACATGACCCAAGCCAAGAGGGGCTTTGAAGATGAGCATCAACACCTTGAATTGAACCCAAAAGCATACTGATTACCAGTGAAATTTTCTTAGCACAGGTGTAATATGTCTATTAAGTCTAGCATTGACCAAAAAAACCAAACCCTGGCTGCCATATTTTGCGTTGGTTGTAGTTCTTGGGTAGCCCCATGTAGGGCATATTAAAGTAGTCTAGCATGGATCAGCACAGTCAGGTCAGCTGAGTCCAAAAGGGAAGCCAGTCTCTGTGCAAGATGAAGCTGGAAGAAAGAATTCTTCAGTGAGCACTTTTTTTCCTAATAGAAGTGAAGGATCTAACAAAATGCTTGAACTCTCCACTGACAATTTAACTTTGTCAAGTGTAAGAAGCGTAACACCATTCAGGACATCCACTTTGCTGACCAGCATCACCTGTACTTTGAAATATCATTGGTTATTGAGTAATGCCATACTCATAACCTGTCTCAAATATCCCTTTGTCCTTCACAAAGATGACACCATTGCAACCAAGACTGAAATATACCTATCAGTTGAAACCAGCATGATTATGTATTTTTCCCTTATACTGAATAATGGGTCGTGTCAGTATAATTGTGTTATATTTATTGTTGTTACCTGCATTGGATCCTCAGTCATCAGGAAAAGGTGAGTTTCCAATTGTTTTAAATAACTAAATGCACTGGTACAAAACTATTTAGGTGTCCCAAGTGTAAACAGAAAGCCATGTTTAAGAGAAACAGTAAAATATGCCACAGCAACAGCAACCTTTGCGCCATTCTAAAATCCACTGGGAATCTTTATAAGTTCCATGTCCTGGCATTCACTAAAAGCACGTTAATCGCATTTCTTCTTAGCTCTTGCTCCAGATTTTCGTCTAAACCCTGTGAAGCGACTGATACCAGCAGCTCGAGGAGGGGAAGTCATCATTCACTGCCAGCCAAGATCTGCACCAAAATCCGTTATACTCTGGACCAAAGGGACTGAACTTCTGCACAATAGTCCCAGGTACCAGAAGCTTCTTGGTAGTTAGACAAAAATATCCATAACCATGTGTTTCTCCATGGCATGGTTAGCCTGCTGATCTCTGCTTAGCCTGGATCTAACTTTTGTTTCACCTCATACAGTGTATGTTTTTCTTGGAAAGCATCCCACTGCACTTAGTGGGGCTCCCTTCCAGGGATGTGTGTTCAGGAGTGCAATTTTAATCCTTCAGAGGCAATGTCTTCTTGTCTGGTCCTGCTGCAAATCCATCAATTGATTTAGAAGGTACCTAGATGTCTGTTTTATCCAAACAGAGGAGATACATGATCTATTAAAGCCCTACCTGGCTTGGGACCAGGGTATTTGAAGGACTGTCTTCTCCCATTCGTTCTTGCGTGGGAATTAAAATTGCAGGGAGACGCGCTCTTGACAGTCCTACCAAAGATGCTCATTTGGGGACTACACAAGAGAGGGCCTTTTCCACAGTAGCCCTGCAATTATGTAACAACCAGTTGCACCTGGCTCCCTCATTGTTGATCTTTAGGAGACTGTTGAAGACAAGTTTTATTTAGGATTGCATTTTGATTGTCTTAGCATTTATTACGGCAGTCCTAACTGGAGTTTTAAAACTGTGATTTTATGGGTTTTATAACAGTTGCTTTATTGTGTTTTTATAATGATTTATTTATATTGTAAGCCGCATTAAATTCTGCAAGGGGAGAAAGGCGGCTAACGAATGTCTCTCTGTGTATGTGCCCTGTAGAGCCTTGTGGCCTGCCGACCCACATCTCCTGGTAGTCACCGGCCCAAAAGACATCTGCTTAGCCTCAAGCATGGCCAGGGTCTTTTCCACCCTGGCCTGATGGAATACGCTCCCACCGGAGATCGGGGCCCTGTGGGATCTATTACAGTTCCGCAGGGCCTACAAAATGGAGCTGTTCTGCCAGGCCTTTGGTTGAGGCAGAAGATGTCCAATCCATTCCCCTGTACACCGTCTTTGTCACTGTTCTTTGTCCAAACTGACCCTGCTAGAAGACTGTCAACTGTAGAAGGCATTTCAATTCTCCGTTTTGTTGCCATCATTACTATTACCTGTTCATTTTAAACTTGTCTTAGTTTTTATGTTTAATGCTTTTATGGACCTATATACTGTTACCCACTTGTGGGCTAGGGTGGGATATAAAGAAAATTAAATAAATAAGTAAATAATAAATAAAATAAAAATAAATAGTGGCTATCAAGCTAGAATGTGGCAGATCTATATTCACTTTGTAGCTGTATTAGACTTCTTGGATGGGAATAGATCTTGGAAATACAGCCTACATTGTCTGTGGAAAACAAGAAACAAAGTCTGAACTGTGAAGAAGTGCCTTCCATACTATACAAGAAAAATGGCATAAGACTGGCCACCCTTAAGCACTTTGTGGAGAAACCAGAAAAAAGTAAACCCAAAGGCTTTGCACAGTTGAAACAGCAACATCAATCACATCATTTTTAAGTAGCTTGGAAGAAAAGCATGCAATACCCTTCTAATGAGTTCATTTTATCCGTGGGGGTAGTCTAGTTTTGTATGTCTATCTCAGCCATTTGGTTGGCATTAAGCCAATCGATTTCCTTTTGGTAAACATTGATCACAACTGTTATTTGCCACTGTATGTTGCTGAATAGAGCGGGTCTTCTGATTAAAATTTCCACAGGTATCTAGAGTAAGTTACAAAAATCGCTAATTTAGCCCTAAAACAGGATTAAAACTCTGCTTTATACAATATATTATCCTTGACAGATTTTACTCATCACATGTTGCATAATTCATCTGTTTCTTGATTCTGCATGTCTGATAATTTGACTTGGTGATCTATGCTTGCTTGCGCCAACTTTATTTTTCTTTTGGTGGGCTTTTTCTTCACTGCAGCATAACTATTACTCCTGATGGCACCTTGATCATTCAGAATATTAGCAAGTCAGATGAGGGGAAATATACCTGCTTTGCTGAAAATTTCATGGGCAAAGCAAACAGCACAGGAATCCTCTCGGTTCGAGGTAAGGTTTTTTCTGGAAACAAGCTGTGACCCTGGACTTACCCGGGGCTGTTTTTCCAGCTGCAGGGCAATGGGCCATTGTGCCCACATGGCAGTGAGCTGCGTGGATGGGACCAACAATTGTTGTTGGGAACCCGGCGGCTTCCTCTAGGCAATCTATGTCTAGTTGTCTTGGGTGTTGATGTGGGTGGGCCAGGGGAGGGCCCCTTAGCTGGGGGTCCCTCCCCGGTTTTGTCCCATCTCCTCTTAAAGCCACAAAGTCATCAGGTACCTTCAGCACACTCTTCAACCATCCCTCCTCCCCCCCCCCCCCGGTTTCTGATTTTGTAGCGCAATAATCTTTCTGGTTATCTCCTTGCCTGTCACAGCTTTGGGTGGTTTTAGGCATTGGGCTGGATCCATTTGGTAGGGAGGATGTGCCTGCATGCCCGCCTCCCCCAGGTGTGGACCCCTTCAAGGGGTCTTGGGGGTGAAGCCAGGTAGCACCATGCCCAGCTTGTGGGCTGTTGCTTGGCTCCACTCGCAGGTGGCAAAGTGGGCTTGTACCCATGTGGGTCCACTTAACTTGCCATTCCAGATTTACCCCCATGCAGACAGACTGGGGAAGAGTGTCATTGGCTGGTAGGCAAGTCACTCAATGCTTGGATTTGTGCCCTATGCCACGCCACTGCTCCTGTTGCTGTAATCAAAAAAGCTGGGCCTACTCTGTTTGTGCCACCTACTCTCTCGCCCTTCACCTACCCTTGGGACTGCAATGAATATTGTAATAGAAAGGGTAGCACATTTTGCCAACACCTCTGCTCCAAAAAAGTACATATTTCCCTGTTTTATCACCACAACCACCCATGAGGTAGGTTAGGGTGTGAGAGCTAGTGAACTCTGATGTACACTAACACCTTTGGGAAAGAATATCTCTATCACTTGGTTCTCCACAGATGCCACCAAAATCACCTTGGCGCCATCCAGTGCTGATATCAATGTAGGCGAGAACATTTCCCTTCAGTGCCACGCTTCTCATGACCCAACAATGGACCTCACCTTTACTTGGAGCCTGGATGACTTTCCTATTGATTTCACCAAGTCTGAAGGCCATTACAAGCGAGCGAGTACAGTGAGTACTGTAAATTGCAGGCTGTTAGCACATTATGTCCAAAAAGCTGGTCACAGTGAGAAGAGACCCAAAGATTTTTCTCCCACTGGGTGTTATTTTTCTTTGCTAATTATATATGATCATTTACCTGTCTCCAAGACACAGCAGATACAACCCTGACTTCCAGCTGCCTGTCACTCTTTCAGCCCATTTGTTTTAGTATTCCCGCCCTGGCTCTGATGTTGTTCCTGTTGGATACTGTCTCTCATTCATAGAAAGAGAGCATTGGAGACCTCATGATCTTGAATGCTCAGCTGAAACATGCCGGACGATATACATGTACAGCCCAGACGGTGGTGGACAGTGCTTCCGAGTCAGCCGCACTGGTTGTAAGAGGTAATTTTTCCTGTTCACTGTTTGCCTCCTGGATTTATGAATGACATGACCATGCTGCTCCTGCTCCTTTCGTATTAGGGTTGTCCAGCCTTTCTGTTCTCAGAGCCTCTGTAATTCTCCTGAAAGCTCCCAAGTGGAAACTATATTACCCATGCAAACTAGTTCTTTTAGGAATATGTTCATAGTAAATATCTATCAGTAAATACTTCCCAGATATAAGAAACGTGCACTTAGGCATAGCATTACATACAATTGTGTACATTTACATACTACCTACAAATTAAAATGAGCAAGACAGATTGTCTCTGCTGTGGTCTCTGTCATGTTGTGTGGCAAGAGTGGCCACTGTTTTACCTGCTTTTATTGTCGCTGCCACCACCTCAGGTAAAATCTAACTGTCACATGGATTGCCTGAAGACAACTCCACAGGGGTGTCGCTAAGTAGCATGCCAAGCAGCAAGGCAGATGGGTAAGGACTTGTGCAGACTCTCTCAAGTGAAACAAACTTTATTTCTACAAGGCACAAACTCAGGGTACCATAAAGGACAGGTTCACCAAGTAAAATAAACAACAAGACAGTGGCTAACTAGTACTTGTATATCTTTCCTGCAACCCATCCCTGGTGCATCTACAGCCCTCTTCTAAGTAAAATAAACAACAAGACAATGGCTAACTAGTACTTGTAATCCATGTTACATTTGATCTCTGGCAGTTGCAGGATGCCCCCATCCCTGGTGCATCTACAGCCCTCTTTAGGATCATTCTCCTCTGTCATCCAACACGCTCAACCACAGACCCAAGGGGAGCTCCCAGGAATTTCTTTCTAAACAAAGGACCGGCTGCCCTTTCAGACTTCCCTGTCACTTGTGTTCCAGGGGCCTTTGGTCAGTCTGGATGCCAAGCCTTGGTGCTCAAGCCTGCCAAACCCGGACCCTCAAGTCTAGAAGTGTTAACACATCAAAAAGCTGGCATGTTGTCCCTCTCAGTTGGAAAAGGATGCTCTGTATCTGGCAAAGAGGACCTCCCCAGCTGTAGTGACATCTGGACTGCCTTTCATCACCATAACTGTCAAGGCATCTCTTGCCCCCCTGCCTCTCATCTCAGCACACTCTCTGCTTCTTACAACATGAAAACAGTTTTCTTTTCCTTAAAAATAAACTTGTGGGCATATGCTTTACCATATGTTTATTAAATTTCATTAAAGCTGCCTACTGTCAGATAAAATGGCCGTAGAGGTTGCCAGTTGGCCATTCCTTTGCCACATTGTTAGAAAAGCAACTGGAGGCAATTCAGATTTGGAGGAGATTCTGTTACTCCCTGATGTTGAAAAATGTCAGTTTTAGCCATCTCATGTTTGTTCAAGAGTGGTCTCTCATAGATTTTTATACTGCAGATTGTCAAGATATTGATTTAGGTGATTTCATGTCTCAGGATATAAAAAGTTATGCAAGTGTCCTTTCAATAGGCTGAAAATTCCCATGTGAAGCAGAATGTATCCTTTAGACAATTTTTTAAAAATTAAAAACTTAAACTGATTGAAAATCTACTAGCGCAGGACCTAGAATTCTATTTGACACCTAGAAACATAAATTCTCTGTCCAGAATAGATGGTTACAATAAGGTCAATTTGCCTGGAGTGAAGAAGCCCGGAGAATTCCTGGCATATTGAATATTAGTAGATTGATAAGTTGTGACTTCCATAAAACCTATCTACTAGCCTAGAATTATTCAGCATGCTCTGGAATTCTGGCTGAAATAATTGAATAGATTCATCCTCAGTGCTACCATAAAGACAAGGGAGCAGGAACAGAGATTCACAGAGTTTAGATATAGCTGACAAAGTCCACATTGCAAATCCAGATGTTACACTTTGCATTTATAATACACACCTTCAATGAGATATTGTTATTTCTGCTATTGTTGTTCTCTTCCTGGTAGGTCCTCCAGGGCCTCCTGGGGGGTTGGTGGTGAGGGATATAAAAGATACCACTGTGCAACTGAGCTGGAGTCGAGGCTCTGATAACCACAGTCCTATTGCCAAATATGTCATCCAGGCCCGCACTCCACTCTTCTCCAAATGGAAGCAAGTGCGCACCAGTAAGTGTCTTGAAGGCAGTGGCCTATACTGTGCATGCTCCAGCGTGAGGCTTTGCTTCTCCCCTTTTGGCACTGCTTGCTCTATTTGGTCTATTCTTGTGCTTTTGGGTTATAGATCCTGCAAATATTGAAGGTAATGCAGAGACGGCCCAAGTGGTCAACCTCATACCATGGATGGATTATGAGTTCCGGGTCCTGGCTAGCAACATCCTTGGTACTGGAGAACCTAGCGTGCCATCTGCCAAGAGCCGCACCAAAGAAGCTGGTGAGTACATGTATTTTCTGAGGGAAAAAATCTAGCAGCAGCTGCATGATAGAACTTTGTCTCCCATGACAGTAGATGCCACAGTCAACTGCTGCTTATGAACTTCTGAGCAAGCATATATCACCTTTGTATTTTTGTGAGGACTATAACGTATTTGACATATTTAAGATTAAGATATTTAAGATATGGTGACCTGATTTTACTTCATGCTTTGCTTAGACATCCCAAATAGTTCTTTTCAGCAATTTAAAAGTGTATTCATACAAAATCATGTATAACAGTTACAGGGTTAATTGAACATTCTATTTGAATCTCAGTTTTAGTATTGAACTGCAGTTCAGTCTTCTTTTGGACATGGCTGCTGCCTTCTGCTTTGTTAGATGGTGTTATTTTTTGCCTCCAGATTGCTTGTTTTATATGTTCTAATTTAAGAGAGGCGGACTCTAATCTGGAGAACCGGGTTCTATTCCACAGTCCTCCATATGAAGCCAGTTGGGTGACCTTGGGTCAGTCACAGCTCTTTCAGTGCTCTCAGCTCCCCAAAATAAGTCTAGCTCACCACTTTACTGGTGCATATCGCGAAAGGGCTAGAACTTAAGGCTGCCAGACAATTTTCAGATCTCCTGGCTGTACAACACACATTGCCATACAATAATAATAATGAATTAATTATTATTCATTATTCTAATTTAACTTGCATTTGGTCTGTTTTATCGGGGAATAAAACAGCCCCTACAGTTGCACCATCTGGGCTCAGTGGAGGAGGGGGAGCACCTGGGGAACTCATCATCAACTGGACGGTAAGCTGGTCGTAAGCTATGTTTTCATTACTAATGGGTCTAATCATGTTTTCTGTAGGAAGGAGGATAAGCAGAAAATCATTCATGAACTCCTGTATTAATTTGTTGCCCTTATATCCAGACTTTTCTCCATCTTGGAACTCAAGGCAGATTATACAGCAAAACAGACACTGGCCAGAGCAGTCTTGCGTAGCTTCAGTGGGGTTGCTGTGTCACGTGTCTTCCACCCATAGCAGGCTT